ATTACACTTATATCTTCTAACACTCCCCCTCAAGATAAACTTTATAAAAGTTCATCCTGATTAAGTCATTGACAATCATGTCATTGAAGATCTATTGTGCAGCTCTTATGCTGAAGCTTCCCCTATGACTATGTCGAAGTTGGGCTGTGACAATGCATAACTACTTCATCAGAAAATGTCAAACTACATGAATAGTAGTAATGCAGAATGGGGGAAACTCTAATCACTAGACTAAGGATGTTAGACAGATATAGGACAAAGGATGATGAATTGAGGAAGATGGCTGACTAAGGATGACATTGGACCAAGGGACGCAGCCTCCTTTAGATAAGGGTGACACTAGACTAGGTGTGGATTAAGGTGGACTAAGATAATACCTGAAAAATGGCTGAATAGGGTGGAAGATATTCAGTAGAGGTAGAGGGCCTCGCCAATAGGACACACAGTGGAGACAGAATCCCTCACTCGAAATGTACTCGGTAGAGGTGGAAGGCCTCACTAGAAAGATACTTGACAAAGGTAGAAGACCTTGTTGGACAAAGAGGGGTTTGAAACCCTTATTTGTAACTTGTATGGCACTAGATGTTAGTGATGGTGGTGCCAATGCTCCCCCAGACAGGTGACGTTAGACAGAGCCGACACTGAACAGAGTTGATGGTGAGATCACTCCCGCAGATAGAAGGCAACATGCAAGGTCGATGAAACCCTGGCAAAATGAACCTGCTCTATAATACCTCGTTGAATTAGGGAAATAAAACCTTATCACTAAGGACAAAAGGAGAGAATGGTAGAAACCGCCTCACTCATTCATTCACCTTGAATACCCCTTAAATAAGGACAAACCCTTCATACACTTTCCCATAATACCCTTAGTCATTTACAATATTCCACTTATATCTTCTAACAACCCAAACCTCATGAAATTTAAACAATTACTACTTCGCTTCATATGGCCCAACTTGGTTAGAGTCTTGTTGTCATCAGTTTATTTCCTAATCATTTAGTTCATATCTATCTTTGATGACATCTATTAATGCAATTCTTGATAAATTAATGATAATGATTATTGTATTAGTAGAAATGGCGTCTTTTTTAGACCCATTTTTGCTATGGGACATCTCACATAGTCCACAGTGCACTTTCCACAAGGAAGATCTATAGGAAATCATTCAACTTTATCTTGACTCCTAGAAAGAAAGCAAAGAGAGTCACATTTCTACCAAAGTATGTGAATTTAAGCATGAAGATGCAAAATGGGTGGTCAAACTAGAAGATGTTCGTCAAAATCTTAAGTTGGCAGGTCATTTTTAAATAGTTTTACATTGGTTGGGCTTCTTAGACTGCATATCTTAGTGGAGAAAACTATATTTATCTATTTGCATCCTCAAAATTGTTCATGGTAATATAGATTGTCTTTAATTTCTAAGGGCTTCTCCTTTTCTTCTTTTGTTATAGAATATTATATCCTAGCCATTGAATAAAATTATCCAATATATAAAATTTTATAGGCTAGGAATGAAGACAAACAAGTTGTAGACGTGTCAACTGACTTTGAAGCACCCAATAGGAACTTTGATCTGCCAGGCCTTTAGCTAAACCTAACAAGCCTTATCTATTCTTGAAGGACCTAAGGATGATTATAGGTGTTAAGAGAGGGGGACAAGTTGAATAGACCTAGTATTCTGAAATAAAGGAAGAGCTAATAAATTATAATAAATGAAGTGGCTTGAATGCTATCCTATGTTTTAATATGATGTAGAAAAAATGGAACAAACATATAAAGTTAGATAGATGCAGTGGACCATTGAACATGGTTACAAAAGTTAATCTAGTTGATCAAGTATAATTTTTTTCTTCTAACTCACTATATTGCTGAATGGATAAAGGTAAGGCAATACACAAAGATAGATACACTTCAAATAAGTATACATCAATTTTAGGGTGGTTCAGCCTGTAGCCCATGCCTATTATCTTAGGAGCCCTCAAGCTTCCTAAGGTTACCAAGTTAGCCTTCTATTCACTTTTTTCATAGTCAATCATATTTAGCCTTCCAAAGTTGACAATGCAGTCATAACTATTAGTAATACTAAGTTATTATGGTAATGATTCATCATAAATTCAGTATCTTATGTTGATTGACATCTTGTGGATCAACTTGAAGACTTTCACTAGTTGTATAGGACTTTGATCTTTTCATTGATTACTTGAGTAGCCTTGGAACCTTAGTAATTGATCAAGGCTTGATTTAGTTGATCTATAGTTGGTCTAGAAGTGTTCATGCTTTCGATTTCATGAGTTCAGTTACAACAACTGATGTGGCTTGGTTCTATATTTTTTTTATCATAGGATGGTGTCTAACTTTTCTATACTTCAAACAGGCAAAACAATATTTCTTTCCAATAGTTATAAAAATCTCATAATCTAGCCGTTTTTTGCACACCACATGCTTGCAAAAGGATTATAATAAAATAAATTTGAAAGTTTTTTTGGAACGTTAAATGAATAATATTTTGATGATGAAAAACACATATAGGACCAATAATATTTTGATGTTTCTTACTATGCTTCTTACATGATTAAATATAAATTTATGTATTATTGTCAATTTAGTTGAATAATCATTTAGATAAATTAAAATTAAGTATTTTAAAAAATATAAATAAAAATTGAAGAAAAAATTCTATGACTTATACTATTGAATTTTGCGATTTGATGATTTTACTATGCAAAATTATTAATTTATAAATCATTTTGAAAATTACTAATATTTATAGAAGATGACCCTTTAGGAAAGAAATGAGTAGGTCATAATCAATGAGAATTATTGAAGTAAAATAAGATTATGAAAACTTTCTTGGTCTGTTAGGTTCATGATACTAAATCATTTCTTTTGAATGTTCTTCATATCGAATTAATTGATTCAATTCAAACAACTCATACTTGAAAAATAATTTTAAATTATCCTATGTCATTGAAGTTATGATTTTACATATTCAGATCATGAATTAATGTCTATTTGATATTCATTATCATATTATCAGTTTTGTTTAAAAAATAATGGATCTTTATCAGACATAATTGAACCAATAAACTTTGGATATATACGTTACCATATAATGGTTATGGGTTTTGATTTTTCTTTGAAAATATCTAAACCCTTATTTGTCATGTTATATTGATATCCGACCATTTGAATTTCTAATAATTTTGAATTTAAATATTGAGAGAAGGAGAAAAACAATAGAGGTTTTGGAATTTAATTTCTCTATAAATTTAACACATTTACAACAGCTAATTAGTTTTTGAGTGACATTTTACCATCTTGAGAGCTTGCTGACATTTTATGTTGAAACTTGGTGTGAATTTGAGTGATCTTAATTTTTGGGTTGAGCAACAAGAAGACAATCTATCGAGGAATAAAATCCAAGTCTTATGTGATCTTCCTTGAGGAGATTGAATCAACAATACCTTCAATTATCACCCAGTATGTTATTTTAAATTTAATATATGGAGTGAAAATAACATAACATATAACTTTATATAACTAAGCTAGTAAAAAGTAACGTACTGCATTAGTGAGCATAGCACTTATGAATTGATCAAATAGTATACCATGAGTACTATGTGGGTCCACATAACATAGTATTTAACTATGTTAATGATCTTGGTACATGAGGATGATAGGTTGATATATTTTGACCATCTTGTGAGGACAAAATGACATCCTATGTGGATGAATCAGATAATGCATTATATAACACAACATCTGTATATGGAGATAACAAACACACATAGACAAGGTGATTTATTAGTAAGCATAATGTGCACATTTAAGCAATATATGATATGAATGTGAATGGCACACATATATGTAGGACTAAATGCACAAATATGCATGAGAATAGATAGACATTATATAGATTAGTGAACACAATATGCAAATCGTCAGAAAAAAATTATGGCAAAATAGATGATCTAGTATCTTAGTGATTGCACTCTATAAATGCATATATTATATGCATATAATTTTTCACTAATTCAAAGTGCATATCTAATTGTAGCATGCAAATAATATAATATATCCATGTGAATAAAGTAGAATAAGAATGTTGTTAACATGACATATGGGAAAGACAAATAATAGTTTACATGCACTTCAATAACATAGCATATTGTGAACTCAAATTTTAGTGTGCATGTGTTAGGAATTCACACAATATGCGACTGATTTAGACATAAATTGAGAGATTAAATAGTTGCATTATGTCATTGACAAATCGAAACATTGATATGATCAAATACAACACACACTCTCTCTCTCTCTCTCTATCTCAATCCATCTCACATTATTTGGGTTGAAAGATGAAATGTTGATATTGTAAACACTGGGAAGATTTTATTGGATTAGTTGGATCAGTCCATCCATTTGATACTCTGAACCAGATCTCAGAAATACGATTAGATAAGGTAATATGTTTCTATATTACTAATAGGCTAATAAATGAGAACCTAGGTAATTATTGGCCCTTTCTTTCATTCTTCAAAGTCACTGAAAAGACGGGATTGATGGATCTTTCATTCTTCTTTCTAATCTTATTCTCCTCATCCAAAGTCATTTAGATATAGATGGGTCAATTTTCCAAAATAAATTAGAAAATTGGTTAATTCGGCATTACCGTAATCAGGAAAGATTGTAGGCTACTTCTATTTTCGATAAGATTCTTCAATGGTAGTAATTTTGTGAAATCATGCGCTCCTGATGATTATTGAAGTACCAAAAGTGGCTGAAACTACCCAACTCAATGTGGGTAGATTCTTTTCCAATTCAACTATCAAATCACAAATTTAGAATTCGGCACGGATTCGATTGGAATTAGAGGAGCCGCCTCTCATATGATTTACAGGGCTGGAGGTTTAACTCTGGCTGCCGCTTCGGCTTTCAGCGAGGACAGGGAGGGCGTCGATGGCCTTTACCGCAAGTGGGCGAGGAGCCGCCGCCCTCAGATGGCGAGACGGCGGCCAGAAAAATCCCCGGCACCGCCTTGAGAGGCGGCAAATGACCTCCTCGAGGTTGGGGATGACGACGGCGACGTCTGCTTGGGCTTCTTCTTCTTACCCTTCTTTGCTCCCCTCAGCGAAGCGGAACGATGGTGGAGGCCGCCGGGGGGCTCGTAGTCCTCTGAAGAGACAGCACACAGGGAAGTGGACTGGCGTCAGAATCATTCTGTCAAACATCTAATGCGGAAGCTGTCGACAGGCATCGGAACATTTATCCTCCTCATCCGCGCATGGAATCAAGTGGGATCGGCCCCTCCACGTGGTCGAAACCAGCTGAGGGCCTTTTCGCGCATATGCTACAGAGAAGGAGACAGACGATCCTGGAAGATCAGGCCTTTACCACATGGGTGATTGGCGGTGGCTCCGCCGTCGTGCTCACCTCTCCGGCGGCCTTCGATACGACAAGATCGCTCACGGGGCGCCTCCGGCCGCAGCCGGGCTGTTCACCGGGAGGGAAGGGGGGTGGCCCGCCGGCGAAGAATGCCCTCGTGAGGGGGGGAGGGAGGGGATCACGAGAGGCCTCGAGTGCTAGCAAAACCCTAACCCGGCGACTGGTGGTTGATGATGGCGTATTCTTACTCAGGAACAGTGCCATTACCGGGGAGGATCGGTGAATTTATCGCTGCCGCGTTATTATAAACGTTAAACAAATTACTTTTGTACTTCCAAAAGACCGAAGATCTAGCTGGGAATTTGGAGATCAAAATCCATTACTGAAGGGAAACATTGAAAGTAGGTGCATGAAGCGAGATATAGTAAATCATTGTGTGGAAAGGAAAGGTTATGCTTTCAAAGTGATTCAAATGCAATATTACCTAGGGACGAGGCCCAGGAGAGCTCCGTCGCCGGTCCGTCGCCGCCGAGAGAGGCCACCGAGAAGTCCGACGCCGTCTTAAACTCATTCATCTGCAGGCGGCCAAAGAAGACCGTGAGGTGCGGCGTCCAAACGGAAGATGGGAATTCGGGAAAATACCGGAGTCCGCCGGAAAAAGGTGGAAAACTAGCGCACGGACCCAGCTAGGAGCGTTCGCCGGCGAGCTGTTCCAGCCGATGTGGGTCACGTGTCTGACGTCCGTCGGGTACCCAATCTCCATCTCATGTTCCTTGTAGGCTGAGGCGGAGGAAGAAGATGGGAGCACCACAGCTCGTTTCATCATGAAAGAGAGAGAGAGAGCGAGAGAGCGAGAGAGAAAGAAGTCAGATCAGAAGCATGCCTTTACCAAATATTTGGGAGAAGTACTTGAAGCCCTTGAAGAAGCCCTTCATCTTGGTGGCCATAACCGGGGGAGTAGGGGGTGACCTTCATAGAAAAGAGAAAGAAGCATGCATGATAAGTGAAGAGAGATAAATGGTGAAAGAGGGGGGGGGGGGGAGAGAGAGAGAGAGAGAGAGAGAGAACTTCAGGGGGGCGGGAAGGCCTCCGGGGGATTATTAAAGAAATGGGTGGAATTGATGCGGCATTAATGGGTCTCAAATCTCAATATGTTGTCGTGCTGAGATCTGGGCGTCCCCCAATTTACAAATGGATACCGGGGGGAAGAGAGAAGAGGAATGGAGGGTGGGTGAGGTTGAGAGTGAGACAGAGAGAGAGAGAGGAGAGAGAGAGAGAGAGTACCCGTTAGGTTGGACAGACCTTTGATGGCTCTGGCAACCGAGCGCGTGGATGCCAAGAACTAGGGTAGGTCTCTATCCGCCCCCTCGTCGATCATCTTCTCTGAAATTTTGCCGAAGAACACCGCAGAGGGACGAGAAAAGTGTAAGGAAGATAGGTAGGTAGATAAATATATATATATATAGATAGAGAGAGAGAGAGAGAAAGAGAGGGAGGAGAAAAGTCTTGTAAGGGTGAGACAGAGAAAGGGTGGGAGAGAAATCGAGAGCGGATGCTGTGGAACGTCCGAATGCAGTGGAGAGAGGCGATGGGGTCAATCTTCTCAGATGGCAACAGCACTGAGAGAAGTGGTGGTTCCCTTTGAATGAATAAAAAGTTTTTCTCTCTCTCTCTCTCTCCATTTCAACTCTCTATAGCTATTACAAACGCGTTAGACATCACGGTTAATTTCTCTCTCTCTCTAACAAGACAGCGGTATCTGTCCGCGCGCTGTGTCATGTGAGAGCGATGGTTAGAGAGAGTAGTCCATGTGGGGATCTGGTCGTTGTGATACGGAGACATTAGATTCTCCTTCAACCACCCACTGAAGTCCGCTCCAACGCAGCCACATAAAGAAATGAATAGACAAACAAGTCTGTGGACACACAGATAGACGGAAAGACAGACAGTAAGACAGATGGAGAGAGAGTAAGACTGAGCGAGCGAGAAGATAGCTTGCCTTCTTTTGTGTAGGCTGGAACCCAGAAGACAGCCTTTTTATTGACCAGGAATAGGATAATCTAATGATTATTTATCCATGCTAAACCCGGATGTTAATGCAGAGGGTTGGTCTAGCTTTATGACAGATTTTGTCATCCTTTCTGTAGATCAGATCTAAGAACCCATTCGACGCCGGCGACCAAAGGGTTGGACACTCATTTCAAGAAGCTGAGCAGGATCCTTGCTCTTTCTCTCTCTCTCTCTCTCTCTCCCTTGTCGATGATAAAGATGAGAGGTCATATGATACGACCATATCCTTCGACCAGCTCATGGCCTCTGTGGTGAGCCAGGTTCTGCCGTAGTAGGGCTAGTCATGAAGGAGATGAACCCTGCAGCAGCGATACTTCCGTGAAAAAGCTTTAGATTGAAGACTAGCTTGGGAGACATCTCCTCTATCACTTGCTTTAGGTTGAAGACTATCATATACGAAAACACTAGATAGTGTAAACGATTTATGAAGTGGCATCGTTGTGGAAATTTCATTGATGAGATTTCTATCTTTGATATGGATTCAGGCGTTCATGTTTGTCAGATTCATTGATATTTTCTTCCAAACACTACCTATGCAGAAGATCCCAAAATTACATCATAGCGCATGTAATCTTGTTGATATATGCCCCTCTTCTCAAGACTAACCATATTTTGGTGTATTTCTCGATTATTTATGTGACCTCATGTGTGATAATGCTAAAAAAGGCAAGACACAAGTTAGTAGATGATACTACTTCAGAACAGTAGTATCATGGTACATGGAAAATGTATTATAATGAAACGAGCAATATATGTCCTTTCTTTCGATCTCATAGACTAAACTAAGGAGCCATACCAAAACCAGTAAGTGCCAAAATATTTCTCATTAGAAAGAAAACGACTAAAACAAAGTTTTTGTCTTAAATGGAAATATCAACCTCAACATAAGACGTGTTGGTTCTTCTTTTACATTACCTAAACGAGTTAGTTGTCATTCAGTCATATTAGACTTTCATATTTTCGTTACATACTCAAATATAATGAATACAAACAAAAGCTGTTAATAATATGGCCAAAGTACATTTACCAACTAATAATACTATATCAATATATATATATATAGATATAAATCAAGCAAAGCATGATTTAATATTTATGTTGCATACAATCATTAAAATGTGCATCATTGAGTTATAAAATGAAGTGGAGAGTTGGGGCACACGAGATTTTATATGGTTTGGATTGCTGAGTTTTGGAACCCTTAAATAAGTCATGAAATTGACAAAGTTGCAATGGAAAATGATAATTTCGCATTAATTAATTGCAAAAATAGCTCAAAGGCAATATGAAGATTGAGATTGTCAAAATCTCAATATGAGATTTGACTATGCAGATAAATGACTATGGATAAAGGGAATGTCGAGATTGTCAAATATGAGAGAAATAGTTTCAATTTTTTGAAACAAGCAGATAAAGGCTCCATCAGCCTCTTATAACTCAGAAGCAAAGTGGGATTTTGAAAGTAGATTTTGGGCAGGAAATCTATGAGAGTAAGTCACCAGATGTTGGTTAGGAATGTTGCATTTGACTCTTAAATGAGAATATTTTAATCTTATAATGTCTCTCTCAAGCATGTTTGAAAAGTCATTGACAACATTCAAGTCTTGTATGTTGCGATGATAGAACTTACAATTTTTAAAAACCGAAAATATTTAATTCATTAACTAAATTAAGTTCTATGGATATTGATTTTGATGATGAGATTAGGTTTGTAATTGTGTTGTCTTCCCTACTTATGGTTGGCACCATTGTGATTGTTGTGAACACTTCACGTGAATTTAACAAGCTCTAATTAAACATGATTCATTTTCCTATTCTTATTGATCTGTTAGTTTTGGTGATGATGTAGAATGAAAGTTAAATTGATTCAAATTAAAATAGAATGGATCTTATATTATGCTATTCAATTCAAGTGATCACATATATTGTGTTATCTATTCACAATTCTCATCTACTTTCTTATCTATCATAGATTAAATATTTAAATTTTCAACATTAAAAATCTCAAATTATTATTTAAAAAAGATGATACTAGTTTTAAATATTGAAATTTTTATGGACTTGTTTACTTTTCATAGATTTCTGATAATTATAAATTAGTAGTTACATCTATATATTAATATCTTATATATAGATGTTAATTAATGGGTAGATAATACAATTATATATGGTTACTGACTCATTATAACATTCATAATATTTTATTATTTAATTTTTAATATATATATATATATATTATATTATGAGACTAACCCTACTTGACTATTATGAAGTAAAATGATGATTCTCTCTTTTTTTTTTATGATTATTTGATTGCAAAGACTTAAGTGAGCTCTTATTATGAGTTGAAAGTAATAAAAGAAGGCCAAGCCTTCAATCTAAGAAAAAACCTAAGTCTTATAGAGAGAGTCAACCTAATATGTTTATAGGCCCAAGAGAAGGCATCACTTTAACCTAACCTATTTGGACTTAAAAAGGACTATTAAGAAATGAGATCTAGGTCACTTATCTTACGACACCTTAAGATGAAATTAAGAGAAAGATTAGAGTATTGACCTTATGGAAGAATCTAGGCCATCCACTAATAACATGTGAAAATTATATGCTAATCTATTATCAAATTATGGAGAATAATGTATATTTGAGAAATATTTCACAAGTTATCATGCTAATTATTTTATTTTTTATTTAAATCAACTCTCTAAATCTTAATTTAAATTGATATGTAATAAATAAAAAGAAAATTGATGAGAATTTATTTCATATCTTGAGGCTTAATTCTCATTTATTTTATTTTTAAATAAAATATTATTTTGGTAAATTTTTATGATTAATTGAAATATATTTTATGCAATTTTCCTGAAAGTTTTAGGCAAATATGATCGGATGACGTCATTATTATATATGATAACACTAGCATAATATTTCCGATATGGGATTAACTTTATCTTGTTATTCTTTTCAGATCTGACGGTAGCGCAATAGCAGTTGTCAGATCCGACACACCTCATCAAGCCACGTCACTGCCGCCGTCATACAAAAAAAGTAGCTCCAGGATCCAACGGCGACCGCTAGTAGATCCGACACACCGCATGAAGCCACGTCATCGTCGCCGTCATAGGAAACATAGCTCCAGGATCCAACGGCAACCATTAGCCGATCTGACGATCTAGGAAACGCCACATCGCAGCCATCAACATACGAAAAGTAGCCGGCAATCCAACGGTGGTATCTCACATCCGATGCACACGGATCCCGATAAAGCACGCGCAAAAGCAGCGAGAGCTGATGGAGATCTAATGGTGATTATCGGGCCACGTCACCCCTCTTCAGAGCAAAATGACGGTGCGAGGATCCAACTGTCTTCATCGAAGCACGTGTCGGAGGGTATATTTACAAACATCGATTATCGTCTGGTAAAACAGACGATATCGATTATTCTCTCTCGCATGTAAAAGGGTAATATTCAAATATCAATTGTCATCTGGTAAGACATGTAATATCGATTATTGCCGCGCGAGAAAAGGAGAAGGTGCCAGAAAAATCAGAGAAAAATCGGCAAAATACGGCAGAAAATAGGAAGTCAAAACAGAAAATGTGATTTGCGGATCTGGGGTAGTAAAAGGAGGAAGGGGGAGAGAAATGGACTCTTTTGGAGTTTTTCTTAGGGTTGTTCTTGAGAGAAAATATTCTTCTTTTTCATGCAAAAATAAGAATTTGAAGAGTGCATCGTTGATTTTGATTGTTCTCCTTTACCCTTTTCACCTTAAATCCATTCTGTTGAAATAGATGCAAGACTGAGAAGCGGTACCCAGAGGTTGACATCAAGCCATGCATTCTAAGGATTGTAAGTTTTATTTTTAATAGAGTTTTTATT